CATAGAATTGGCAAGCTGATAGTGAGTGAGTGAATGAATAAATCAATGAACGAACGAACCAACCAACAAACGAACGAGTGAATGAATGAATGGATGAATGAACGAACGAACCAACAAACGAACGTGTGAATGAATGAATGAATGGATGAACCAAGGAGTTAAGAATAAAAAATGAACAAACGAATGAGAGAATAAAAAAAATTTCAAGTAGCGAATGAATGGTAAATGAATGAACGAACGAACGAATGAACGAACGAACGAATGAATGAATGAATAAGTGGACAAACATAGTATCGTTGTAATGATATCAATAACATTGATAACAATATTAACAACACCGTTAACAAAAATATCAATTTTGATCTAGACTAGTTGAATCTGTAAAGATGATAATTGGTGGTAAAAATACTACTATTACTACTACTACTACTACTACTACTACTACTACTAATAATAATAATAATAATGATAATAATAATAATAATAATAATAATAATAATAATAATGGGAACTCTTTTATTTTTTCCAAAAAGGGGCGAAATAAATATTCAATGAAATAAAAAAAATAAAATAAAATAAATTAAAATGAGAAAGTAGTCTACGATGCTCGCCATTATAGATATAAAATGCGTACAACGAGAAATGTAATCAGTCTTAATATAGTTATTATACATTTGAATGTCTGTCGCAATAGATGGCGTACGATGATGATATTACTGAATTAGTTAAGTCGTAACATAATTGTTCAGTCCAAATAAAATTTACAAGAGATAGTCATAATGATAATAACAATAATAATGATAATAATAATAATGATGATGATGATGATGATATTGGAAAGAAGTTATATATATCAGTTTAATGGTTGTTTGATGATGATGATGATGAGGACGACGATTATGACGTTGATAATGATGATGATGATGATGACGATGATTAAAATGATGATGACGATGACGAAGACGACGATAATAATAATAATAATAATAATAATAATAATAATAATAATAATAATAATAATAATCGTCATCACCGCCGTCATCATAACGACCCCCGCTCGATTTAATTGCATTCATGCCTGCATACTTTTTTGGCCATAGTGATTATGTTATTATTATTATTATTATTATTATTATTATTATTATTATTATTATCATCATCATTTTTATTACATTTTTGTGAAAATATTCTTGATTTTTAATTTCTTTCAAAATTTTCATTCAGTTTGTGTGTGTGTGTGTGTGTATGTATGCGTGTGTGTGTGTGTGTCTGTGTGTGTGTGCGTGTGTATGTGGTGCATGTGAGTGTGTGTGTCATGTATGTACGTTTGTGTGTTATATAAAAACATTTCGTCAAATGTTTCTCAATGGTTTAATTATAGAAAAGCACTTCTAAAGAAAACAAACAAGCAATTTTATATTTATTTGTTCGAGACTTCATGCCTAACCAACATGAACATTAAACAAGCCATGCAATTTTGTATCGTCCTGTAAGGACATCTGGAGTGTTCTGCAAAACATTTTTAATTATTTTTCTAAAGTTTTTTGTCTTTTTATTAGGAATTATTTATTTTTCGAGAGCAAATGTGTTGTTTTGTGTTCGTGTATATGTGTGTGTGTGTGTGTGTGTGTGTGTGTGTGGTGTGTGTGTGTGGAGTGTGTGCAGTTAAAATTATTTTTAATATTTTAAAAATTTCTCACTCTAAGTTTACAAAACAGTGCACTCAGAATGTCATAGCATCGATTTTTTCACCGCACGTTCGATATTTTTTCTCTTTATATTAAAAACTTTCTTGTTAAATTTAAATACTGAGTAAGTTGTTTGTTAAGTACACCTGCAAAATTATCTGGTGTCTCAGGGAATAAATGTGTCGTGGCGTTTGAGTTATCGGCTTCAAATGCAAAAGGAATCTAAAAACTGAACCGTTGTGTAAATTTGATACTATGATGAAATATGCTTCGTTCAACTTTAATGAATTTATACTACATTTTAGATAGTAATGTCTGCTGAATGTATTTTAAATTTGATGATTGATGAAAGAATTTCGTGTGATACACTAAGCTTATAATGTGAAGAAGATGTCAAATTTGAAAAATAAATCATTCCTCTTCAAAGCAATCTATTCAGCTGTAGAATAGCCCTATAAGTAGTTGAAAAACTGAACACAGCCATGATGATATGTTCGATCTTTTTAGTAGCGTGCGTGAATTCTTCTGATATTACAGTGCAGAGAGAAGAAGTAACGTATGAAAGACCAACACCTACCTTATTTACAACATCTAAAAATTAGAGCAAAATTTGAGATAACTTTTATCTCAACGAATTTGGTCTTCAGGTCAAATATAAATTTCGGAAATGACAAAGGTATTGCGATCTCAAGATCAGTATGTCATATATCTTATTTTATATCTTCCTGGCCCAGTCCTTTGGGTCAGAAAGATATATAATATATAGATATATAATATAAAGATAAGTAGGTAATAAAAAATGTGAACAACGTCATCTCAATTCTTTTTTTAGAAAAAACAAATAAATGAGGTATTTGTTTGAGAGCATGGACAAACAATACTTAAAAAAATAAAATAGAGTTAATACGTCAATATTTAGTAGATAGGTGGGTATAGACAAGGACATCAACAAGAATGATTAAGCTAAAATTAAAGATAGAAATGCATTCAGAAACAATGCTTGCCTGTGAAATTTCTGATGAAAGAATGTTTTATAATCTGTGTAAACCATGGATGTATATATATGTATATATATATATATATATATATATATATATATATATATGTATATGGTTTAAACTCGGACTTGTTCATTTTTTGCTGGTTGTAAACAGCATGAAGTGCTGTTTTTATGACTGATAAACCATCGCCAATGCTACCCTTCCTGTAATAAATGTCAAAAATTAGTGAAAATGGATTAATGAGGGATAATTATTACTGAATTTTTTTTTTTACTTATTTGAAAAACTGAATGTTAGAAAACTGTGTTAACAAGTGTTATGAACTTTAATCCATGGATATTATATATCCATGCTGTAATCACCTAAATCATTTTTAATCAAAGTTTACTTTTAATAAAAAAATTTGTGAGCTGATCCATTAACCGAATAAAATTGAATTCATTAAAAATATTCTTTTGTCCTATTTAAAATTTTTTTAATTGAAATTAATAGAGTAAAATGTCGAATATAGTGGATTTCTACAAGGATCGGACGCTTTTCATTACAGGCGTGACGGGGTTTATGGGGAAAGTTTTGTTGGAGAAATTGTTAAGATCCTGTCCTGGCTTGAAGAAGGTTTACCTGCTGATGCGGCCCAAGAAGGGGCACGATATCCGGACCAGACTCAATCAGCTCATTGAATCTAAAGTTAATTTTCACTTTATGGGTTTTTAAAATTTATTTTATAAAATTTATGTGCATTATATACAGTATTATGGTTTGTAGTGATTTGTATTGTATTGTATTTTATTCATTTTTATATATTGTAAGCAAGCCATTTAAAAATTGCATGAGTAAATATGATATAATATAATTAAAAATAATAAAAAAAGCATTATGATATATATTTATATTAGGTGAAAATGAAAGAATATTCAAAAATATTTAAATTGATAGTTATTGAGTCGATGGTGATGATGGTGACTATTTAGTATTTACTATTTATTAATTAAAAAACAAAAATTCTTACAGTTATTCGATGACATCCGTGAAAACATGCTGAATGTACATGAAAAAGTCATTCCAGTGGCTGGGGACATTATGGAACCTAAGTTGGGACTGAGTGAGGAAGAGGAGAAGATCCTAATCGAGGAAGTTTCCATTGTATTCCATTCCGCTGCTACTGTTCGATTTGATGAACCCTTGAAGTTTGTTTACTTGTTACTTTGTGTTTGTGTCTGTCTGTGTGTGTGTGTGTGCGCGCGCGTGTGTGTGTGTGTGTATCTGTGTGTGTGTGTGTGTGTGTGTGTGTGTGTGTTTTGTGTGTATGGGTGTATGGGTGTATGGGCATGTGTGAGTTTTGTTAAAGTTATCAACTCTGGCTTGCACACAATTGTTAGATCTTGCTTGGTCCCCTAATTAAATCTTGTTTCAATTGAATAAATAAAATAATATTAATTCAATGCTTTGTTTAAGCATAATTAATTATGTTTTAATAATTATTTAGTAAATAATTAAGTTTTTGTTTAGGATGTCAGTTCAGCTGAATATCATTGGAGTGAATAGGATTCTGGATCTATGCAAGAAAATGCAACACTTGGATGTTTGTGGATTTTTATTATTCTGAAAATTATATAACTTATTTTTATTTATTGTTATAATTTCAGGATAAAAATTATTGCAATTGTGATTTGTATCATCCTTTGTTATAAATTACTTGAATTCAGTTTTGTNTCTTGAAAGTTTTTTTTTAACCTAAACAGGCTCTGATCCACATCTCGACAGCATATGCCAACTGCGACAGACATCTGATATCTGAGAAGATCTACCAACCACCGATTACTGCTTCCAAGATTGTCAGTGCTATGGAGTAAGGCTCTTTATTTATGGTTGTTTGATTGGCTGGTTAATTGATTGATTGATTGGTTGGTTGGATGATTGGTTGGTTGGATGATTGGTTGGTTGATTTGTTCACCTACATAACCTTATAACAGATGGATGGATGATGAAGTCGTGCAAGCACTCACCCCAAAAATCATCCAACCGCGACCGAACACGTACACATTCACGAAAGCAATTGCAGAGCACCTCATAGCTGAAAAGTCTGAAAATCTTCCTGTGGCCATTGTTAGGCCATCAATTGTTGGAGCTTCTTGGCAGGAGCCCTTGCAGGTTGGTCTGATTGGTTGGTTGGTTGTTTGGTTTTTTGGTTGATTGGTTGGTTGGTCTGGTTGGTTGGTCTGGTTGGTGGTTGGTTGGTTGGTTGGTTGGCTAGCTGGTTGGCTGGCCTGCCCACTTATTGGTCTCCAATAAATGATTTTGTTAAATGGCTGATGAGATTGTATTAGGTTGAATGTTTGACGAGTTTGCTAATTTTTTTAAATTATCAATTTTTAAGAACAATTTTAGAACAATACTCTCTCAAATTTTCAAATCAGGGCTGGGTGGATAACTTCAATGGACCAAGTGGACTGCTAGTGGCTGTTAGTAATCATTACTTAAACCTGGCTACTCTAGTACTTAATAACTCAAGTACTTAAATACTTTACTTTAGTACTCAAGTACTTAACAATTCAATTACTTTGTCTCTCACCTTTAAAACTCAAATACTTAACGACTATAATTCTCTCAGATGCCTGAGTAGCTAAATTTTTCAAAAATTTTTTTTTATTATATTACAACTTAAATCTAAGCATTAGCTAAATTATTTTATTGATAGATAAATAACCTATTTAATTAATTACATTAATATTTATTTAACTATTTAACACAATAATTATTCAATTAACCCATTAATTATTCAATCAACTTTGACCTCCTAGATAGGTAAGGGCATATTGAGGGTGATGATGGGTAACAATTCGGCATGTGCAGATTTGGTGCCTGTCGATATGGCTGTCAACCTCATTATTGCTTCTGCTTGGTCTACTGCTACTTACGGGTTGGTTGGTTGGTTGGTTGGCTGGCTGGTTAGTTGATTGGCTGGTTGGTTGGTTGGCTGGCTGGTTAGTTGATTGGCTGGCTGGCTGGTTGGTTTATTGGCTGGCTGGTTGGTTGATTGGCTGGTTGGTTGGTTGGCTGGTTGGTTGGTTGGTTGGTTGGTTGGCTGGCTGGCTGGCTGGTTGGTTGGTTGGTTGGTTGGCTAGCTGGCTTGAGTGGGTGATGATTTTGTTGTTGTTGATGTTTCGTTTGTTGTGATGGTGATTGTTGGTTGTGATATGTGATAGTGTGATTTTTGGTGTTGCTGTTTGTGATGATGATGATGGCTTTCTTATTCTTGTATTTCTATTGATTGTACTATCAATTTTTAAGATCTTCTTAGTTGGGCTTTATGTAGATTTTGTTTTCTAGCAGTATTTAAAAAGAAAATGAGAAAATAATTTTAAAAATTTGAAAAAAATTCAGCCACAATGGCCTGCAGATCTTCAACTGCACAACTGGACTGCAAAATAGATTAACATGGGGGCAGATAGGTTGGCATTTGATTGGTCAATTAGTTGTTTAATTGATTAATTGATTGATTGATTAATTGATGATCAATTAATTGAATAATTACTAAATGGATTAACCAACTGACCGATTTGTTGATTGATTAATTGATTGATTAATTGATTGGCTGATGGATTGTTTGACTGAATGAACGACCAACCACCAATCAGAGAAAGCCTCGATGGATTGCTTCAGCAGGAATCCTGTTGACGTCCCAGTTCGACTCCCAAATCCCAAGTTTACTCTCAACAGGTTGGTTACTCTATACATGGATCAATTCTGTCCTTTACTGTTTAGTTATTTCAACGTTTTTTCTTTGCGTGTGTGTTTGCGCGTGTGTGCGTCTGTGTGTGTGTGTCTGTGTGTGTGTGTGTGTGTGTGTGTGTGTGTGCGTCTGTGTGTGCGTCTGTGTGTATGTGTGTGCGTGTGGTTTTAAGACACCAGCTTCTTGACATTCACACCCCCACACAGAACTTACTACCTACTGCAGAGATGGTTCGATCACTTTCTTCCTGCTTGGTTCATGGACATTGGCTTGAAACTTTGTGGCCAGAAGCCTATGTTAGTGTGGTGTGGTTTGGTGTGTTGTGGTTTTGGTTTGTGGTGTGATGTGGCTTGTGGTATGACCTTTGTGTTACGTTACTACGTGTTTTTATGGTTAATATTGTCGACACCCTATATTACAACAATAATGTCAAATCGTCATCTCACATTGCAATCACATTTTCAAATCACGTCATCAACTCATCAACATACCACATTAACGTCACACAAATGCTTCATCATCATCGTGGTGGAAACAGATTGATGAGACTGCAGAGGAGACTCTGGAAATCAGTCTCATGTATGGAGTTCTTTACCAGCCATGAATGGAAGTTTGAGGATGACAACGTGAGGAAACTCTACGCCAATATGTCTGAAAGAGATCAGAAGGTTGGTGTGGGGATTTTGTTTGTTTGTGTGTGTGTTTGTGTGTGTGTGGGTGTGTGTGGGTGGTGTGTCTGTGTGTGTTCTTATCGTCATCTTCATCCTTTTACACGTCATCATTAACGTCATCAGGACTTCAACTTTGACGTGAAGCAAATACACTGGCCAACGTACTTGGAGAACTATTGCTTGGGCGTTAAGAGATTCGTCCTCAAGGAAGATATGAAGAACTTACTGAAAGCCAGGAAGGCGTTTTATAGGTTGGTTGGTTGGCTGGCTGGCTGGCTGGCTGGCTGGCTGATTGGTTGATTGATTGATTGAGTAGTTGTTTGGTGTGGTTTAATATTTGATTGACAGGTTCATTGAATCAATTATGCAAATTCAGGTTGGTCATCCGTAAGAGACTGAAGTATCTCTTTTCTATAATTATCTTTGGGGCTTTCCTCTTCTTCTCCAGGTTTTCGGGGAAATTCCTGATTTTCAATTTCACTATCGCCTCAGCTGTCTACAGGTTCGTCGCCGGTTCATTGCAGATGCTACTGAAACTGAAACCTGGATTTATGTGACGTTGTCATCTTCTCACTACTGCTGCTGTTTAGTAAGACTGGAATGGTTAGATGGTAGATGGCTGTTGTTGTTTCTAACCCCGCCTGCATTTTATTTAATGATTTTTTGGTCATGCTAGTAAAAAGGCTATCCAGGTTAGAGTAACTTTTTATAATGTATGTAACATTTTTCGACTATTTTTTTTTTATTATTTTTGAATTTATTTGTTCATATATTGGTTTATTTACATTTAATTAATTAGTTAATTAATTAATTGATTTGTTTATTCATAAATTTATTTTTTTCGTTCCAAAATTTATTTATTTATTATGATCAATATTTATACGACGCTGAAGTGAGGTATTATGCAAATGAGCTATGTCAGGGCGTTATAATACCAGCATCGTCATCACTATTATCATCATCAAATTTTATTATTCATTATTGTTGTTTATATTGTTTATTATTATTATTATTATTGTTATTATTATTGTTAATATTTTATTCGTTTTTTCAGCGTATACCCATTTTGTTTTTCCTCCAATCATTCCATTCGGCAATTTTAATGCGTTACATACATTCTATCTTGGTATATGTTTATTAATTTGTCCATCAATTCATTTGTTCATTCATTCATTTGTTCATTCATTTGTACATTCATTCATCCATTCATTCATCCATTCATTCATCCATCCATTTAATCACTTATTCAAACTTATATATTGTTTTTGTTTAATATACGTATGCATGTATGACAAGAAATAAATGTGAAATTAATGCTCTTAGCCTAATTTTGTAATTCACTTTTTTGGGTAGATTTTTAGGCTTAGTTTGATTGATTGAAGGAATGAATGAATGAGTGAATGAATGCATGAATGAATGAATGAATGAATAAGTGAATGAATGAATGAATGAATGAATGAATGAATGAATGAATGAATGAATGGATGGAAGATTGATTGATCAGTTAATTTTATGATTGAATCAATGATTGATTAATTCACTTGTCAATTAATTTTACAGTGCAAAAAATACACATTGTAGGTACCTTTATTTTCACTAATTCATCATCCAGTATAAGCATTCAATTATAATTATTTATAATATAATAATTACTTATAATATATTGTATATAATAGGCATTCCAATGCTACAATTTTCTTGCTACATAACTGCTTGGCTGGTGATGATGTATCAATCAATGATTTATCAATTAATTAATGAATTAATTAATTATATGCCTAATTAATGTTAAATTACATTGGCCATTTAATAAAACGCAGTGTTTTTTGATATTTTGAAAATATTCAATATAATAATTCTCGCCCTAATCTGATATACTATAATGGTATTAATATTTTTATTTAATTTTTTGATTGTTTTTTTTGTAACTATGTTTTTTCGTTTTTCACTCTTTTAATAAACGAATTTTTTTCTATTTATCTATCTATCTATCTGTCTGTCTGTCTGTCTGTCTGTTTGTCTGTCTATCTATCTATCAATCAATCTACAATATTTAAAATTTATACAAATTTTTTGTTTGTAATAGGTTAAGTATTAGGTTGATATGTTGTGATTGTGTATGCGTGCGTGCATGTGTGTGTGTGTGTGTGTGCGTGTGTGTGTGTGTCTGTAATTTAGACAATGAAAGGTAATGACCGGTAGTTATTTGTTTTTTATAAATTTGAATTTGATAACATTTTTACTCTTTTATTCGTAATTTTTTTTATTGTTAATGTTATTTGTCTAGCTAGTGATAGCCGTAATATTTTTAGCATAATGTTAAGATTTTGCTCATCAATGCTTAAGACTCCGGGTTCGATTCCAACTTTGGGCACGAATCTTTGGGTATATGATGTCGATGTTTTTTACTAGCATTGATTTTTTTTTTTAAGAAATTTGTCGAATATTATTTTAAAATATTCATTTGGTCTGTAACGTTTGGTGAATGATAAATTATATTATATTTTATTTTTTTAGTTTTGGAAATGTTTCATTTTAGTTTGTTTGATACGTGTTGGTTTGATACGTGTGTTTTGCTTTATTATGTGATTAGGCGCCAGGTCTTGCTATTGCAATGACTGGGTTCGAATACAAAGAGATCCCCGCCTATCATATGCAATGTGTATGATGCGTGGTTTGCACGCGTATTCATGCACGCTGTGTGTGTTTGTCGTTGAAACCTCTGAAGCAAACACAAAAGAGAGAGAGAAACCTTTAACCTTTTATGTGACATCGAGTAATTTTTTTTTAAAGAAAAACTTGTAAATGGTTTTTTTGATAGTAAAAAAAAACTAAATCATGTCGTTTTCAATCAAGCAATAATCCTCTAATCCAAGGCGTTATTTTTTCTCATCTTAATTTGTATCATCCGGACTCACTCGTTTGTTTCACTGAACAAATGCCTGGACCTTGACATTTTAAAATAAGATATCTGATGATATCTAATGTAATCCGATGTAGTCACTTCCTTTGTCTTTTTCCAAATACTTTTCTATCTTGGGCCATATCACAGCGTATTATTCCTAACATGCTGTGATTTTCATCGATATTTTATATATTCATATATATATATATATATATATGAATATATATATATATGAATATATAACAGTTTTCATAATAAACGTTTAGACATTTAGAATTTAAAGTTTGCAAATGCGCGGTTCATATGGGGTATATTTCAATTATAGATGTACGTTTTAATTTTAAATGTATATACTCCAATTAACTTTTAAATTTCTCTTTTCAAGTTTTCTGGATCGGATTTTCCAACAGGTTTATATATGTCTTCTGTGGTTTTTATATTTTTGGCGCGTGAGTGAATTTTTAATTAATTAATTTAATTTATTTATTTATTTTTCATTCTCGGACAAGATGGTTCAGATTTTTATGAAAGTGTTAGTTAATGTTTTTTAGCTGCTTTTTTTTAATTGACATTGAAACTTGTAACAGCCCGGCATGCATTCAATTCAACCAACTTAAAAACAAAGTTGCATTGAATTCGAATTGTATGTACCGTATGTATATTGTATGTATAATGAATTAAATAAAGTATGAATTAATTGGGTTGGAATTGCAATTGGATGGAATCCAAATGAACGCTTATCCTAATTTTTGTGCTAATCTAATTAATTTTTAATTTATCATTATTAATTATTCATTTTAATAATTGATTTTGAAAAGATAAGAATAAGAAAGAGTTTGTTTAATTAATTAAATAATTTAATCTTTAATGTACTTGAAAACTATGTCTTATCTTAATTATTAGTTATTTTTTTTTTAATTTCATTACACATCTAATTATTCATTATTGTACTGGGGTGCATTTAAAATGTATTCATTCGTGACCCATTTTTTCAAAATTTCAAAAGAAACGATAATGCTTTTGACAATGAATGGACGTTGGTCGAGTTGCAGGGCGACCTTGAGGCCAGGTCCGGGGAGGAATCCCTGAATAATAAATTCATCGGGGATCTCCATTTTACAAAAAATGTATGTAATTTTAAATTTTATCCATATTTTTGGGTTTTTTTTTTTTTTTCATTTTTGATTGCTTGTTTCAATTCATTTATTTAATTCATTCCTAGACAGTTCTGTATTATTTTTTTTTGTTAGCTTTATAGTGTCTTATTTAAACAACGTTCATATAGAATAGAATATTATATTGTATCAAAATTCTTTTAATATTTCCCCCTCTAAATTAATTTTAAATTTATACATTTGCAACTTCTCAAATATTTCACATTTGAAAATAAAAATATAAATAAATAAATTTTTTGAACCAAGGGTGAGCCTGTCTTGTTAGTAGGGCATCACATTTTGTATGGGGAAATAAAAGAGTTGGAAAAACCTCTGGCCGTCGTTATGAAGTGTAAAAGTAAACCACAGTTCATAAAGAATGATGAACAGATGGATGATACACCACTGCCGTCATCATCATCCTCATTTGAACGTCATCATACTTCAGCAACATCAGTGATGTCATCATCTTCAGCAGCACTGACGTCATCGTCACAATCGACTACGTCATCATCACAACCGTCCACATCATCGTCAAAAGAGACACACAGACATAATGTCGAATACAAAATTGAAGCCATCATTCTTAAGAAGATTTTATTCAAATCAAGACCGAAACCAATCGTCTCTAATGTTGCAAAGAAAATTTAATTTTGACGGCATTTGTTAAAAAAATTTTTCCTAAAAAATAAAAAAAATTCGAAAAAAAAATTGATCTTATCTGTTTATAATGTTTTGAAGTGCTGTCATTTCAAATTTCTATTTACTATATACAGTTTATTTTATATATATTTCTGCTTCTCTTTTCTCTCTCTCTCTCTCTCTCTCTCTCTCTCTCTCTCTCTCTCTCTCTCTCTCTCGTTACAAAACTGTGAACATTTCCTATTTAACCATTGCTATATTATTCGTAACCCCGATATCCACTGAAAAGTAATCCTGCTTTCAAGTCATTAAATTCCAAAAAATTAATTTGTGGCGTGTGTGTGTGTATGTGTGTGTGAGAGAGAGAGAGAGAGAGAGGCCTTGTCTTTAAGTGCGTATATCTATTATGATATAGCGTAGGAATCGAAGCCATTGTAAATTTATATTTAAATACTTTATTTATATTTGGTAAATTTCAGTTCCGCTGAATTATTTTTAGTTACTGTGTTATCAGAAAGAGGATAACGATGACGAATGGGTGAATAATGATGGCGATGCTGGCGATTGTAACTCGCTTTCCCATGACTAGCGAAACCCATACTTTTCTAATTACGTTTTATTATTTTATTAGTATCATCGTAATTATGATAGTAATTAGGATAGTAATATTATCAATGTCATAATCCCCAATGCGTTTTCCATATCTGTTAACTTTTATTATGATATAATATAATAATACATGTATGCCTTTTATATTTTATACGTAGCTGGCGCCATTTATGGCATCTGTGATCAATTTTCGTTCTTTCTAGCTTTTTTGCTTTCATCTTTCACACTCTCTCTCTCTCTCTCTCTCTCTCTCTCTCTCTCTCTCTCTCTCTTTGGTTTTTTGTATTCTCTCTTTCTCTCTCTATATATTATAGAATTAGTTATTTAGTCATTTTTTTATTAACGTTCGTGTGTACTTGTGTATGTACAGTACATGTGTGTGTATTGTATACGTATCTATACATAAACGGCATAGCTCTGTGCTTTGCTATACTAAGTTTGATCCATTGAGTTGAGAGATGTGAAGTGTTGCTATAGTCGACAGCTGTAAGATGACTATTATATTATTGGTCTGTCTCCCAACAATCTCTCTCTCTATCTCTCTTTTCTCTCTCTCTCCTCTTATTTTCTCACTTTAATTTCGGCATCTACTTGCAAAGTGATCAGATGTCTGTGGTATTTATAATGTTTGAATTTATACTTTCATTAATTCCACACGATGTTCTGATGCACAAGTATGCAAAATACATTAACGTGGTGTCCTTAGCTAGTACAATTAAGTTAGCTAGTACAATTGTCACTCACACCATGTGTGACAATTTTACTAGCTAATTGTTATTTATTATTATTATTACTTATGGTATTTAGACGCAATTATATCGCGAGTTATTATCATATTTGAGAAACTTGTCGTTGAGTGTTAGCCATTCTGCGGCTGGCAAGTTATTTTGCTGAAAAGTTATATTATTATTATTTGTTATTATTATTATTGTTATTATTATTGTTATTATCCTTTTTATTATTATAAACATACGGGCGGTTTATTTAAAGAAAGAATCGAGTGATTAATATCTCGGCAATTCGATCACGAGGTATTTTCGATGTAACCAATGTAACTATTTTTATTTTTTGCTACAATTACTATTGTTTCAACTATACCCCCCCCCCCATATATATAGTGGCGTGGGACTGTGAAATCCGCCCTGGTTACCCTTGGGCAAATCCCTCATTCCCACTCCCCTCCGTCAACTGAAATTGAGGAACACTGCACACATTAATGTTGTAATTGAAAAACAACTTAACAAAAAACATAGTTGGTGCTACCGAATAAATGTCCCCATCTCAAGACGGACATGAATTTCACAACTTAACTTGTACCATCGAAAAAATAACGGGGCGATACGAATGGGCCCTTTAAATAAAATATTCACAAATGACGGCCCGATTCCCCGAATTTGAATCTTGATCTATGAAGAACTACTGCTACCACTTACTACTGCTGTTGAGGCATGATAAATAATTGTTTAGCTGCTGAGTGTTCACCTTTTAATTACTACTACCTTCGTTTTATAATTTGGCTTATAAGATATAAACCTTCATAAACATACCAAATATATAGATGAATGAATATATTTATAGATATAATTTGTTTAGTAAATGTATGTAATATATACAAAATTGTATACTCTTGTATGTTTGTAAATGTATGTAATGTATACAAAATGCGTATACTCTTGTATGTTTATTCATGATTATTAATACTGTATTTATTTGTGTGTATGTGTGGTTTAAGGGATATTTTGACATAGATTTTTTTGAAGAAAGTTTATTTGTTAAAGTTGGTTAAGTTTAATATTAGTCTATTTACCTGAAAGACTAAAGATTACAAACATGGGGGTTGGATTATTGTAAAATGAAAATATTTTCATCTTTTAGAGATGACACATACGTACAAGAACTATTCAAGAAAACAAACGTTTTGATTAAAATTAAATATTTCAATACTATATATATATAAATGTTTTTATAAAGTTCATTCATATAAAGTATTTATTTATAAGTTTAGCTAATTAATTTAACATGATCAGATGACAGTTGAAATAACTGTTAATTTAAATATAATTTGCTATTTTGCCTAATTAATTTAGTTAATTAATCATTGTTAATTAATTAATTATTTATAAATTCTAACTAAACTATTTTTGGATGAACATCATCTACCAAAGAACCGGATACTGAGGACAACTTCCCCGGCCTTAAACTTAATTGTTTTACGAGTAAGTATCTTGTGTATGTTGTGTGTGCGTGTGTGTGTGTGTGTGCGTGCGTGTATATGTGTGTGAGACCAATTCTTGAGACCTGAGACGGTGTGGAATCGGTTGCGGAGACGATATGCGGCTGTTGTGTTATCAGACATGACAGAATTTCTTTTCCATTTTCTTTTATTTCACACCATCTATCTATCAGAAGCCCTATGTTGTTTCTAGCGATCTCATTTGTAGTGGTATTTATTGTTATTCGTAGTATTGTTTTTTTTCCACATTATTATTATTAGAAAATATAATTTCTCACGACAATTTCTACTGAGATCTAACCCGTGACACACAAATACTTGCACAGAGTCGACTGATGGTACACATCATCCGAAACCCAATGTAGTTCTTTTATCTTTCCCTCCTACCTCTATCTCTCCCTCTTTCTGTCTTTCTTTTTCTCTTTTTTTTGTGTATGTGTGAGTGTTTGTGTGTGTGGGTTTTTCATTCATTCATTCAATGTACTCATTTCATTCATTCAATCATTCATTCATTCATTCATTCATTTATTCATTCATTCAATGATATAATAATAAGCCAAACTCGTTTCATAATGCAGCGCACCGCGTTTCGCATTCTGGTTTCTATTTAAAATTTAAAATGTTCATTATTAAAATGAATGTTGCATGGGAAACCAATTAAAATCGTGTGTGTGTATGTGTGTGCGTGTGTATGTATGTTTTCGTGTGTGTGTGTGCATATGTGTGTGTGTGTGCATATGTGTGTGTGCGTGCTTGTGTGTGTGGGTAGTAGCAAGCCTGATACATTAAACCCGTGTGATTGGCTTGCACTTGGATGTATGAATGAATGGATGGATTATTAATCTTATTATTCTTATTGTGTTATTATTTTTATTATTATTATTATTCTTTTTTCTTCTTTTTCATTTCCTATATTTTTTTCATGGCTCTTCATCATCTTGTACACTTACACCACAACGTGGTCATCAAATATTATCATAATATATTCAAACCCAAATTATAATAATTAACGAAATATATTTTGATAATAATTTGCATACACAATTAACATAAACATTTAGCATATTCATATTATATATTATATCATATTATATATATATATTTTTTTTTACCAGCGAAGCTATTTAAATTCCCAATCATTTATAATCTGATCTAATCGTTTTAATTTTTCCCGAACTGTTAAATTTTTTTCCGCTGTGTGTTTATATGTGTGTGTTTGTGTGTGTGTGTGTATGTGTGTATATATGTGTGTGCATATATGCGACATACATTTTAATTTAAATAAAGTATATATACATGCATTGGTTCATATGTATTAAAGATGGTTGAAACGTTCTATCTAACTCGCAGGACGCACTGCATTCAAAGTGTGTTGGTTCGGTTTTTTTTTTTTTTTTGTTCTAAGCAACAACAACCAAATTAAAATTTAAGTAGTAGCTATTTAATTATATTAGTTATGTTAATTAATTAATTAATTAATGACTATAAACAATCTTTTAATAAATAAATAAATATATATATATAATATATATATATCATATCGTATTAACTTTTAAAGAATAGAGTTATAATACTAGTTGGTTGTAATCAATTTATGTTTTATAATTATATTATAATTATATTATAATTAAATTATAATTTTATTACAATTAAATTATTATTATAGTTATATTATTATTATATTGTTTTATGTTGTTTTGTATTGAAAAGTCGATAATTTTCATCTACTAAAATGCGTTCACTTGTGTTATGCTGCTTCAAAGCTCTCTCTACATGTGGGTTATGTGTTTTGTTTTTTGATTGGGTTGAGAGATTTGTTATTTGCTCTGTTTGGTACTTTTTCACAAGTTTTTTTGTTTTGAATACTTCTACGTTTGTATTTACGTGAACGGTTTTTAATTGCTGTGATGACAAACTTTGCATGTGAATTTTCGGGAATTTCTCTCACATTACAAAACCAGTTTTGCCATTTTATTTTTAGGAATTTTAACCATTAATGTCAGTTAGTAAGAAGGACACCAAAAGATGAACAGAAAAATATAAATTAATGAATGAATGAATGGATAACTATAGATAGATAGATAAATAGATATATGGATTGGGAGAAAGAGACTGAGAAAGAGGCTGAGAAAGAAAGGGAGAGAGAGAAAGAGAGAGGGAGAGAGAGAGAAAAAAAGAAAAGGGATTAAAGTAGAGGAAAGAAAGGAGGAAAACGAAAACAGAGAAAAAACGGAAAGAAAAATTGATTCATAGATGAATGTGTAGATAGATAGATAGATAAAGAAAGAAAAGGAGAACAAAAGAGAGAAGTGACAGAAACGAATGGAAGCAAATTTGAAATCCGAGAGATGCGGGGAGAAAAGAGAGAGAATGACAGAATAAAAGGGAGTAAGATAATTAATTTCTTCGAGTAAATAAATATTCGTTGTATCAGCATTTGTCATGTGTGCCTGTGTGTGTGTGTATGTATGTATGCTTTGAAATCAGTTGACAAATGTACTAACAATTTTTCTTTGTTACTGGTTAAGACTTTTAGTAACGTTCTGAAAAAAGTAATAATTAGTAAATCGTTCCAACTTATCTCGTTCCAATTTATCTATTACTCTCTTTTATTAAATTATCTCTCTGTGTTAATAGAATTTTGAATAATTTATTCAATGAATTGCTAGTTTTCCACTAAAAAATTTTAGATTTCATTATTTTTTTAAAATAAATAATTGGTATATTGATATGTGGTATAATTAATATATTGTTATAATTGATATATTTTAGTTAATATTTAAAATGAGATACCATTGAAGCAACCTAAAAATCTCACTCCCCACCATTCCAGCAAGCGCCGACATGAAGGCCCGCGCACTTTACGACAACTCATCGGAGACCTCGGACGAACTGACCTTCAAACGAAACGACGTACTTGAGGTCATCGAGAGAGACTACGAGGGCATGGAGGGCTGGTGGCTCTGTGAACTTAAGGGTAGAACTGGCATTGCTCCTGCCAACAGACTAGTTGTCGTTCCAGTAAGTGTTCTTGTTTTTTTTTTCCTTGATTTAATTTGGTTTTCTTTGAAATTGACAAACTTGTATGACATTTGAGACAATAATAAATAACGAGTATTGTTGCTTCCTATGTAGCTACTTCTTTAAATTTTAGTTATTTTGTTTCCAGTTTTCGTCGATCAAAAATAGATAAAAATTATTTTCATTTGACAGATGGCAGACTCACCAGCGACAGACTACGACACACCGAAAACCAAATTGAGTTCACCGTCGGAGAGAACTTCGAGAAGAACATCGGGTACCGACGATTATGACAGTCCGATGAAAATGAAAAGTAACATCGCTGCCAACAACGACAACGATCGATCTACAATATGTACAAAACTCAACTCGCAAGATGACTACGACACTCCTCGAAATAATTCAATTATGAGCGATAAAAGCAGCACAGCCTCTTCTCCCAGAAACTCTGGCGAACTGAAATTTAACGAAATTTATAATAGCTTCAAATCGAACGAGAAGCAGCTACAGTCAGTAATAACTCAAGTAGAGCAGAGCTTGCCGAAATGGAAAGAATGTAGCAACATCACTTCCATAACCACCGTTGCCAGAGTTATCTGCGTTTCACTCTGGAATAAATTGCAGTCCTATAACGCGGAAGGGTCGAAATTGATTGCCGTAATAAAACAAAACTCAATCTCAACGTCAAACATCTCACTGGACGATGTCAAAACTTCCAGCAGGCAGCTGGAAAACATTTTAAACAATTTAAATAAAAATAACTATACAGCGAACGACGCCGCAAAATTTGCGGAACTTTTAACGTCTCTAGAAACCGTTAAAAACATCGTTGTAAAAAATGTGAAACAGCTTGCAGAATTTTTTGAACGTGTGCAAAAGGAGAAGCTTTATGTGACAGATAAAAACAACAACCATGTGAAATTGTTTGGCTCAAGACCTTCTATTGATAACATATCTGAAACGGGTCAGTTGAGTGATTACGATACTCCAAAACCTGGTGTCTTTCTTTCCAGTAGTTACAACAATAGCGGTCTGATGCAAAAATTTAACAAAACCACAAACAGCGCTAAAAATCACCGAAGCGACGGAAGATTTTCTGATTTTTGTATCAGTCCAGAGCTCGTAGATTACGATATTCCTAGATCTTCCGAATGTTTGGATTACGACAAACCAGTTAGTTTATTCTCTTCAAATTCAACCAGACCAAAAAGTAACGATTTGTTAGAAGTTTCCAGTAAAAACAGATCACATCAAACTTTGACGAAACACTCGAGCAATGAAACGCCAGATTACGACTTACCTAACACTCATCCGCTGGTTTTGAATCAATCATTCCATTCAAATCCTCCTATAAAACAGTCAACCCCTCGAAAAATGAACAAATTCAGCAGTATGGAAAATGTTTTAGACTACGACACACCGAATTCAAAATCCATGATTTCAATTCGTCATCAATCCCAACAGTCAAATTTCTCAACGAGCGACAGAAGAACGGGACTGATCGTAAGCAACATGAAGCAACTTTCCAAGTCTTCCTCAATCACGACGAACCAGCTTGGAACTAGAGTAATTTCTATTGAAGCTCTCGACTACGATTATCCTTCCTACCGAGCTGAAAAGGTTCTCGCGAAAAATCTGCCAGTATCCGATTTCACTGTTAACCTGAGTTCCAGTAGTAAAGATCTGTTAAGATTCAACAGACCTTATTTGAAAGAGGAGGTTGAAAATTTAGAAAAGTTAATTTTTTGTTTCCAAAAAAACTGCAAGTTAGATCAAAACAACTCATCCGAGATTAATTTGCAATTATTAGTCCTAGTGAACAACGCAAAATCCTTAACCGCCAGTGCCCATAAGGTTCTGTTCACTTTCGACTTCATCCTTAAAAAAATAACTGGCCATCTTGACTTCACGGGCCAGTTGAATTCCATCAGCTCGAAAATTTGTGACTCGTTGAAAAATTTAACGAACGCTGTGAAGCAAAGAATACAGAAACAAGATGTCGGCAAACTGACGGCTAATCATGAGAAATTAATCGAAATCACGAACAATCTGAAAGATATCGCTTCCGTTGTTTTAAACATTCTCTCTTACTGGGTTTAGAATACTTTTTATCATTTTTTTCTTTTTCATTTTTTCATATTTTTCCTAGTTCTTCATCATACAAACTTCCTCGTTGATTAAAATCAACGCATTAACTCGAGCAGTCTGTATTTTATATTAATTTGCCAGCATTCAATTGTTTTCCTAAAATTCAATAAAGTCAACATAAAAATAAAACTCAACGTTGCTGTTAATCTTCTCTGCATTCATAAACTAAAAAACTCCATGTTCAATCGATGATATTTTGAAATTTTTTCTTTAATTTACTCGTTCATTCATCTCCTTTCTCATTAACTAAAAGTTACCTTTCGTATTGATCGAGTATTTTTTGGTTATGCAAATTCATGAAGTTGTACATACATACATATGCAATGAACTCTTTTCAACATATTTACTTCATCTCAAATTAAATTCTATAATGTTCTTTTTGTACGTCTGTGAAAATCTTTATTTACTCTATAATTAGAGAATTTCTTCATTTTGTTGAATTTTTACATAAATTTATGATTATACAATATTAAATTTATGAATATCTTTATACAATATTAAATTTCATTATTAAGCAATGCGTTTTACCGTAAGCTTGTAATGTGTATAAAAACAGTGTGTCGTAAATACATTGTATAAAATTTATATGATCAGTTTAAAACTTATTCACTTTTATAGTCTTATTACATCAAACTTGTTAACATTAAGTTTATTTATTAATTTAAATTTAAATTAAATATATACAACCGGATTCTTAGCTTAAATTTAATTACAGTTCCACTGAATTTATTTAAATTAAATTGATTTGTTTACTGTAAAAATTTAATTTGTTGAAAATTCTGTCGAAATATTTATTTTTACGTACATGTTTTGATTGGAATATAATAGACTTGAAGGTACTTGCTCCTGATTTTACAATTTTTTGGGGATTTTACTCGTCATGTTTATATGAGAAAACAATTTTTAATATTTGTTATATTTTTAATAATTGTTATAAAACTTATCGCTGGCAATCATTTGTCATCAGCAGTGTTTAGTATAAAATGTGTTTGTGTGCGTGTGTATATATATATACATATGTGTGTGTGTATGTATACATTTGTATACAATGTTTTACATATAACACACGTGTAGCAATTGCAAACAGTGCACCGTATTTATCTGACGAGAAAAAAAAGCCCAACACAAACAACAGCTAGGCAGTTTTTTTTTATTTACAGACACGATCTTTTTGAGTCAGTTCGATTTTACTTCGCAAGACGGGAGCGTTATTTTTTTCAAAGTTACTTTATATTTTTGTTGTTTTATTTCTATTATTTAGAGTATTTAATTGTAAAGGATTTAAAAGAGAACTTCATTTTCAGAGAAAGTTAGTTTAGCAGCTTGATTTAAAATTTTGGTGTCAAATTTGTAAAATTGCTTTTGTAGAATTGAAATATAATTTCGTCTCAAAGACGCGTCCATTGAAAATGTAAATAATAGAAAAATAAATACGACATATAAAATTGAGATACACGATATAGTATCTTTTAAGTTAAATTTTATTTTCAACAGATTAAACAGTGTTATATATTGTCGAATTTTTTGTTACTCATCTTCAAAAATTTAATATTTTCTCGGCAAACAATTATTTAATGCTAAAAAAAAAGATTTCTATAGTACGCTGTAGGTGATTTTCTTCATACAGATTTCAAATGATTAGATATCAGATCTAAAAGTCAATCTATTTACTTTATCAATCAATCAATCAATCAATCAATCAATCAATCAATCAATCAATCAATCAATCAATCAATCAATCAATCAATCAATCAGTCAGACAGTCAATCAATCAATCAATCAATCAATCGATTAATTTAAATAATCAATCAATATTCAATAAAATACTATCAAAATTCTAAGTAACCAATCCTAAAATGTTTCGGCTTAATGAAACAATTTGACTAATAGCAATCATTAAAAGTTTTTTAACCCTTTTATCTGGAACCCTCTTCCTCCTATAACTACTCCACCGTCACTTACGTACTTTAGCAGATCTGACCTTATGACCTAGCAAAAAGCGCGCCAATGAGCGCACGGCGGATATGACGCAACAAGAAGGCTTGATTATTGAAATTTAAATCACCGAATGAAATCAAAAATCATAAATAGGACATTCTTCCGAAGAAAGACGAGCCTGATGAAAATGCACTCACGAATCAACACCACCATAATCTTTGTGACACAAATTGTTCTATTCATCATCTTCTTCGGATTTTATTATACCGGCTGGAAGAGTTCGACTTCGATATCGACACCGACCGAGTTTGTGAACCGTCGGCATTCAAAGAATCGTGAGTAGATGTTTATATACACATACTGTTGTATTTTAATTTCTGTTTTGATTGATTGATCGATTAAGAGATCGATTGAACGCACACACACCCACAAACACCACACCACAAACACACAAACCCACACACACACACACACACACACGTAGGTCAAGAATTAACAAGATACGAACTGCTGAACAATTACGACGACCACTTTCACGAACGACTTGACAGTTTGGTGGCCAGGAAAGCCACCGCAAATGATCCAGAAGCAATCCAGTTGGTCAGAGAGATATTAGACCCTCCTTCCTTCCTCAACACGTACAAACTTTCAAAAACTGTCTACAAGACACCACAAGCAACCGTTGTTGACAATATTTTGGCAGCTAAGGTAGGCTGTTTGGATGCGTGTTTGTGCTGTTGTTTGAACCTCAGCTCTCTCACACAATTATTTCTCAACCCTACGGAACTATTGCACATGCAGATGTCAAAAGTTATAACCGTTAAATGAAATTATATTTAATTTGAATTGCAAAAGATTGCAATATTTTTACTTTCGGTATACTGTAAACTCAGCTGAAACATCAGTAGCTCCAACTAACACGTCACATCTATCACTTTTTAAGTAACGCATCATCTGGCATCGCGTGCCAATGAGATTGATAAATAAGTGAATAAACACACAGACAGACAGACACATTAGCTCAGTGATTAAGATGATGTCATAAAATCAATTTGTTGAGCTGTCGTAATCAGGTGTTTCAATCATAAAAGGAATCTTAACGATCATTTTATTGCCTGATCTCGCTCAGTCCGATGATGGTACATGGTGGTGAACTAATACGTCGTTTAATAAAATGGCGAAAATGCTAACAATCTTGATACTAACTAGCCATATGTTTGTTATCATTAATTTCTAGTAATTTAAATTTAAGGTGTGAAGTTTAAATATTTAGAGAATAAGTTGAAAAACAAATTAAAAAATTAATCTCAGAGGGACTTGTTTTTTGTGGAAGTGGGTGGATTCGACGGGGAAAGGTCTTCCAACACACTTTTCTTCGAGCACACGAGGTTTTGGAAGGGTCTCCTGATCGAGGCAGATCCATTCTTCTACGCCCAACTCCTCGGGAAGAACCGTCGGTGTTGGAGTGTCAACGCCTGTGTCAGTCCCAGCAATCACGTCTCTAAGGTGAAATCCGGGCTTCCTCCTATAAATTCTATGTTGAGAATTTTAACTTGAGATTTGTTTGTTCTGATTTTTTAAACAATTTCCATTTCGAAGTTCTCAATTTGAGGTTCGTTCCTTTTGATTTTTCGACAATTTCCATTTTAGATTCACGTTCTTCAATAATTTTTTTCGTTGTAACCTGTATCAAATAAAATAATTCCAATTCACGGACAGCTGACATTTCAAGAGAGTGACACAGGAAGAGGAAAGTTGATGATGACAAAGGACGGACGGGCCAAAGCGCAAGGAATGGTCGTTCCCTGCTTCCCATTCCATACAATCATGGCTGCACTGGAAGTTTCGCGGATCGATTTCTTTAGTTTGGACGTCGAAGGATTCGAACTGGACATCTTAAAAACGATCAACTTCGGCGAACTCGATATAAAAACGTTAGCCGTCGAGTTTATGCACGGCGACAGAAAGCAGTACTCAGAGTTCATGGAGGAGAAAGGTTACACGATCAACGAGACGATTGTGGTCAACGATCCAGTCAATTTCCTTTTTGCCGAGGATTTAATATTTGTTAAGAATGATTTGGAAGATCGGGTTTGATTTTTCTATTTATTTTCTTCGTGTTCGTTTCGTTTTAAGGATAAGTAGTTATTAAGTTAACGTATCCTCAAACAAATGAACAGTTTGGCACTTTTCAGTCTTTTATCTAGTATAATTGGGTTAAACAATTGCAACGAATTACTTCTTTTCAAAATAATCATAGAGCCAATTTCAAATTAAAATGAAAACAAAAACTTAGATTAACAAATCGAATGAACAACATCTGGCATCGAAACAGGGAAGGGAACATGATATTTTAATGAGTTGGACAATGTACAACAGCGAAAAAAATAATTACAAAATATTAACATGCAACGTTATTAGCACAAACACTTAAGGCACGATCTGTCTTTAACAAAAATTGACACAAAGTAACGTAACTCATGCTTAAAATTTAGTCAAAAAACATTTTTAAACACAATAATAAACTTGTAGATTATTTTAATTTTATTCAGTTGCAGACATTTTTATTTCTTTTTGTATTCGTAGAAGCCAGCTCCTGTCTTGACGCCTAGTTTGCCTTCAGAAACCAACTTATCAAGCATTGCAATGGGTCTGTATGTTGGATTGTTTGGTTCCTTTTGGTGCCAACCTTAAAAAGATTATTTATAAAGATGTATAACATCCAGCTGAATTCACGAATAAAAATCGATAGAATTGAATCTGTTATGTAAAAAATAGAATCTTTATTGGTCGACGAGTTAGTTGGCTCAGTCGGTAGAAGTGCCATGTCTCGCATTACCATTACGCAATGACCTGGTTCAAATACTGTGTAGATTAATGAAATAATTAATTATAACAACCATCGAGAGCAAATTTGCACGTATCCAATCCAATGTAGTCGACGAGTTCAATTGGGCCCATTGGATGGCCCGACCCTAACTTCATGGCCGTGTCTATGTCCCTGGCAGTGGCGTCTCCTTCGTTCACGTGAATTCATTATCAATCAATCAATCAATCAATCAATCAATCAATCAATCAATCAACCAATCAATCAATCAATCAATCAATCAATCAATCAATCAATCAATCAATCAATCAATCAATCAATCAATCAATCAATCAATCAATCAATCAATCAATCAGCCAACCAATCAATCAAATCAGCCAATCAAATCAGTCAAGCGGTAATGATAAATACTAATAAACAGCATAGATCATTAATAAGTGAAATTTATGGCAAAATTACAGTAGAACGCAGGCATCACACACATTGCATGTGCTAGGCATGAATCACCATGCATTCGAAACTAGTCAATGCAACAGAAGGACCAGGCACTTTAGCCATTACACCAAAAAGAAAAGTTATAAGAAAACCTCTCTCGAGCATTCTGACACTGTCCATTAGATAAGGAATCAACAGTCTGTTCACTATGAATCCATCTTTATCCTAACATAATTATTTATAATTGTTCATAATTAATTTATTTATAATTATATCATTCACAATAATTATACTCATAAAAAGTTAGACAAATAGCATTTGATTATTAAACCTTAGCTTCAACAGCTGTTTTGCCCATTGTCGTGCCAAACTTAATAAGGGCTTCATGGGTTTCTTGGGAGGTTTCAGGCATTTTTATGACCTTTATAAGAAATATGATTGATTGAGTGATTGATGTATTTATAAAAATAATTATTTTCAAAAACTATTAACAAATGCACAATGCTGTAATGGTTGAAATGCCTGGCAGTGCTGTTGCACTGACTGGTTTCAAATGCAAAGAGATCCTTTAAATTCGAACCGAGTCACTACAAAAGGGATGCCAGGCACTTTAACCATTACACCACTCAATAAACCCCACCTCAACCAGTTTCATGACGGTTACAGGGTTAAAGAAGTGCAGCCCTCCAAACCTATCCAACCTTTTTGTGACCTTGGCCATGTCTTTTATGAGGAATGAAGATGTGTTCGAGGCGAAAATGGTGTGTCTTGATTGTGGAAATAGAGAAATTTTAAATGTATTTGTTGAAAATTTTGAATATTTCATTGAAATGAATTTATTTGTATGAAATTATACAATGAAGAAACAAAATAATAAACAATAACTAATATTGATAGTATTTATTTAATACATATTAAGTATAAGTATAAGATGCCCGATAACATGTGTGATGCGTCAAATTTATGCAAATTTGCATACATTAAGAAGAACTATAGCGGGAATTATAAAATGAAAAAAATTATAAAAAAAAAGATATTTACTCTGGTGCTACAGAATCAAGCTGAGTAAATACTTTGTGTTTGATGTCTATGTTTTCGACAACAGCCTCTACAACTAGGTCTGCCTCGTTCACCGAATCGACAAGAGATGTCCTATAGTTTAATCTACCCATTGTTTCTTTTTGGAATAGTTCACCCTTCTGAATTTTATTTGTTTTTTTTAAATAAATTAATTTAAATTATAAAAAAATAATATTTATCAAAGTCTAGAATAATAACTGTACAGTTTTCAAAATGAAATACCCAAAATTTTAATAATAAATTATAAAATTTAGATAAACATTGAAATCTAACATAAAATCAAAACAAAACAGACCACCAAAAAATGAAGAAATGCTCACAAACTATTAGCTATATATATTGGTTAAATTCAATTTTAAATATCTGATTGCTCAAACATAATTTTATAGACCGCAAAATGAATCACACTAATCACTATTCATAAATGAAGAGACCTCTTTATTGTCCCCAAACAACTTTTTAACAACCCTGGCAAGACTTGTTTCAATTTTGGATTTTGAATTTTTCAAGACATCTTCACTGACGTCAACCAACGTTACGTTGTGTCCTGTTTGGGCTGCCACCTTTTGAAAAAAATTATTTATTTTGTATTTATATCAGTACGGATTCTGAATGAGTGGCAATCCCGACACTACCCACCTGGGCTATCCCACCACCCATGATTCCGCCACCGATGACGGTGACATTTTTTATGATGACATTTTTGTTTGAAAGTTTAATTCCAGTGGAAAAATGGCGATTAATCAATTTAGTAGCGAACGACATTTTGATCTCAATTAAAAGCGAAGTTACAACGTGAACTTTGTTACCAAAAACGTGATGAAGGCTAACACGAATCAACTTTTAAGGTTAAGTCAAAGTGGACTTTAGTTAAAATTATTTAATCAAATAAATTTGTTAATAAATTATTAAATTTAAAAAATATTTTAATTTATCTAAACCTTTATTTAATTTTAATTTTAATACGCTACTTTTACAATTTTATTAATTCTTTGTTTATATTTACAATCATGCTATATATTCATTGTTTTTTTTATTGTCGCCCTATAAATATCTAGCCCGGTTTTTGATAGCCTCAAAATCTCGTTCGTAAAGATCGTCGAAATGGTTACTCCGGTAAGCAACTTTTATTTGAGATATTACGTTGGCCACAGAGGAAAGTTTGGTCACGAATTTCTGGAGTTTGAATTCAGGCCTGAAGGTAGGTTTTTTTTTGAAAATTCTCGCTTGTTTCGGTTATCGTTATGACTAGTTATTACTACGAAAATATTGTTTTTTAACATTTAACTTTTACCAATTTACTAGATAAATTACTAAACTAATGTTAATTGTCAATATTAATTTGTGATTTTTATTAGGTAAACTACGTTATGCCAACAATTCCAACTACAAAAATGACGTCATGATCCGAAAAGAGGTGCTAAATTATTTTATCTATTTTTAATTAATTTATTAATTAACTATTTATTTATTGAATTAGTTTGGATTACCATTACGTTATTTAAAATTTTAATTTTTTGGCTTCATATTTTCACTATGTATATTCTATGTTGTGTAGTTCACTTACTTACATTATGTTTGTAAGCCATGACAAGATTTTAATGTTGCAATCAATATAATATAATTATAATAAATTATTTCCAGGCGTTTATCCACAAAAGTGTAATGCAAGAGTTGCAAAGGATCATTGAAGATTCTGAAATCATGCAAGAAGATGACAACTTGTGGCCCCAGCCAGATAGAGTTGGTCGGCAGGAACTAGAGATTGTGATGGATGATGAGCACATCTCTTTCACGACATCTAAAATAGGTTCTTTGATGGATGTCAATCAAAGCAGGTTTGTATTATTTTCAATTTCAATATATATTGTGTAGTTTAGTTTGATTCATTTTTTTAATTTATTTGAAATTAATTTAATTATTTCCAGTGATCCGGAGGGACTGAGAACTTTCTACTATTTGGTGCAAGATCTAAAGTGCTTCGTTTTCTCACTCATTGGATTACATTTCAAGATCAACCCGATCTAATATTCACTATTATCTAACGATGTCGTTGACCGATACAATTTAATTATTGTTTTGTATTCTTATAAATAAAAGTCTAAATTAATTTATTGTCTGTCCCCAAAAAATGTTAAATATATCAGTAAAAATTGAAAATAAGAACTGTAATATAAAATTACAAAAGTAAAAACAATCAGATCTTCAATTTGCATCATCAAGCTATTGCACTTGTTATTTCTTGTGGACTGTCCACTAAGATCTTCTCAGAGGTTCCGTATTTAACTCTGTAAAATCTGCAAATGTATGTTTAATACACTACACCGGTGAATGAATTTTTAAAATAATTGCCAGTAAAGATAAAAAAGTTAAGAAAATGTAAACTAGGAAATAAATCAGATAAACATTTTCATAAATGAAAAAATCAAATCTAAAAAAAGTGAAAACATTCAATTATTTTTAAAGCGAATTGAAAACTTGAAGAGAAAAATACATGAGTATTATAGTCCCAAGTAAGAATATGCCGGCGGAAATTAGGAAGACGAATGCAGTTGAAATCATGAGAGTTGCAGAGTACACCGTGTTGAACAGCACACTAGCCAGCAGGCAGCACAAAATTTCGACAGCTTCGATTGATCCAAGGATAGCCCCTACAATCATGTTTTGTTGGTCAGATGATGTAATTTTATAAAATAACGCAGCGATAAGTTTAGATGTGTGGTGAATAGTGGCGTGTGATTGAAGAATTAGCGTAGATTTTATACAACTGCACGAACCATGTTTGGATTGGTGAACAAGGAGTGTCATCATCGTCCGAATGCTTGGAATCAACATGAGGTTGAACACCGACAACGCAGCTCCTGCAACCAAATTAAATAACATTCAAACATAGAATAAAAAGCATCATTAATTCAAAGTATCTCAACAAGAATTATTTTTAATATTACAAATTTTTATGAAATAAATACAAAAGAACTAAACTACGACTAACCGAGAAACATCATCAAAGTATTTCTAACGAAATACAAGTAGATCCTAGTTCCAGCGCAGGCAATTGAGGCAATGATTGCAATTGTGATGTGACTGAAAAACCGCTCGAATAATGGAGTCATTACTAAAGATCCGACTGCCATAGCTAAAACCGATACACCGGTATATATACCAATCGTACTAGGAGTCCAACACAAAGGACTGTTCATTTCAAAAAGCGTCCCAATGATAGCATCAAATGCCGAAATTATAATGATGAAGAAAGCCAGAAGAAGGATACGGAGTTTGTAGGAATTCTCCGCTGTTTCTTCCTTCTCACAGCTGCTACTACTTGTTGCAGTGCTATTCGTTAAAGTACCATTCGTTACAGTACCATAATTGCTCGGCGATGGGCTTCTGATCGGTTTTCTTTTTTTTATGGAATACACGCTGAAGGTGTCTTTAATATAACTGGACATCAAAGAAAACACGGAACTGGAATGCGGTGTGACGTTTTGAATCAGTTCTACGTCGTCATCTAACACTTCATTCGAAGTTGTCGTTCTGCTGTTAACACTCGCTTGCGAAATGCTGTTGGGAAGGGGCGAACTGATATCGTTATCGATGAGATTTTCATCAGCATCGACCGACGAAATCCCGGAGTTAATGGCCTCCTTCTTCTTCGGAACAAAGAAGAGGCAGTAGAGGAGACTTAAGAGCGACACCGATGAAGATATGAGCATCGTCAAAACGGGCCCCACGTATGTTACGAGAGGTCCCATGATGAATGGAGAGACAGACCCCCCAGTCATGTAGAACAACTGCAGGATGGCCAGTCGGAACAATCTGTTTTTCGAGGTTGTTTGCTCCATGACGTAGGCATTTGAAGCAAGCAGGATGCAACCGAACGATCCACTGAATCCCACAAGGATGTCAAATGGGAGGAGGTAGAATATGCTGGCCCTAAAATTGAGTGTGATGAGCGGTATTGCTGATATTTATTATAACAATAATAATAATAGCAATAATAAATTGTAGCAAACAAAGGTTTTTCAAGCGATAACATATTCAATAATGTTTTCATGGATGAACCATATGTAACGCACAAATTCATCATTTATAAAAACAAAAAAGAACCAAACCGACTTGAAGTACGTGATGAAGATGAGAGCCACCGACATGACAAACCCCCCCAAGACAGGGGGCACAAAGACCCATTTCCTGCCCAACTTATCACTGGCAGATCCAAGCACCAAGTTGCTGACGATAGCCGGAGCAACCCAAACGATCGTTCTCAGGATAAAATAATACGAAGTCATCCATTGGTTTCTCTGGTTGAAGGCATACTCCGGTGACGAACTATTCGACCGACACGGATCAACATCCGACGTGTTATCGAATAAGGAAAAGTTATGCGTAACGTTGTTGAGGGTGTCCTGGTTCCAGTTATACCTAGCAATCCAATCTAGAGTGTACTTCTGTGAGACCAGGTTTGATGGAAAGTCGCAAAATGCGTACATGAACATCACAATTTCTGCCCAGAATAATTTCACCTTGAATGAACATTTTCGAGTTTTATTCGACGCGCTTTCGTCTGCGGCGTTGATAGCCGTTGCCTGGCTTGATAAGATACATTCCTCTTCATCGTCCTCGATGCTGTAGTTAGTGTTGTTGACGCTGTTGTAGTTGTTGTGGTTGCTGCGGCCGCTACTTATGTTGGTGTGGATGTCTCCGATATTCATGTTGATATAGTACTGCTGCTTTAAAAGTAGAAATATCAATGATGGTTAAACAATTGTCGCCAGCACAGCATTGTAGTGTATATATAAATACTGATGCATGAGTGCCATCGTGGTACTGTAGTTGTAATGCTGAATAAACAAATGAAGTAAAATTGACTTCAAACTTCAAAATTAACGACTTGAATATTGGCCAGGGGCAATTCGTCAATTAATACCATTTAAGGTTCTAAAATTTTCTAAAATTTTACGATAATTTAATTTGGGATTTGCTCAGGCGAATGTTTGTATACACGTTGATGTGGAATCATAGGCACACATACTCACACACACCACACACACACACACACCACACACACACAAACAAACACACATCCCACACGCTCACATAAACAAACACACATGTTCAAATAAAATTCAAAACATGAACTTCGAACTCAGCCCTATAAAACGGGCAGGCGTAGTGTTTTATTATGATAATAAGCAAAATAACAAACAACAGAATCAAGTGCAATGAAGTACAGCTAACAAATATGTGTAAAAAACACACACAAACATAACACCACTTAAAATATTTTTCATTATCCAACAATAAATCATTTATTTTTTAACGAATTAAGCTTTAAAACATGCATCAGCTGTTTTCTTATAATTTGCCATGTTTTCCAATCATTCAACATCTCGCTGAAACAATTTTTATGTAAATAATACCAAAATTTGAAGTATAAGTTGGACCCATTCCATTCATTAATTATTATCGCTACATTCAATTTTCACCATAGAGTTTTAGCACTAGTGCCTTTTAGTTTATTAGCTGGTATATTATAACGATTTTATATTCGTCAATAAGTTGTTTGTCAAATTTTTTTGAAGTGAATTTAAGAAAAATGCGAAATCCAAATATGCAAACCTCCAAATGTATCACAAATGTATTACATAACATTTCGTTATACTATACAACTACAGTGTCGAACATTTATCTAAATTGATTAATTCATGTTGCTGATTGATATTTCTAAGTATTCTCTCTTTCTCTCTCTCTCCCCTTACCTGTATGCCTTTCCCCTTCTCTTTTTATTTCCGTCTCTCCCTTTATATATATACATATGCAATTATTGATAAACATATATAATATATAATATAAATATATACATGTGTGTGTGTGTGTTTGTTTCTATTTGCGTCTTACCACATAACTGACACTCTTAACCCATAAGA